GTTTGTAAACAAATGTAGAAGGGTGCTTTATTTGCATAACAATATGGTAGATCTTTAAGTCAACAACTCAACTCATAGCTAAGATTCTCTTGGGTTTCTGAAAGTCTAAATCACAGGAGAGGAGATTGCCCATCTTTCTTTCTCCTGAAGGGCTATGGCTGTTGCTGTTGCATTCAAACTGCCATGAAGATGTTGTCTTTGGGCTAGCAGAACAGTTTCCTATGGAATGGACCACTAGGTGCCCTTAGTTTTTGAAATACTGTAGAGAAGTGTAGCAAGCAGATGCCATCTGGTGAGGTTTTTAGACTAGAAATAACAACAACAAAAAAAGTTGTCACTTTTGGATCTAGCAAATACTACCCAACACAGTTGCCTTTCTACAAAAGAAAATCAGAATTTTGAGGTTTTTCTTTTGTAAAAAATTCTTATTTTACTATTTTGTGTGTGTGTGTGTACTGTCAAATCAGATCTGAGTGGTACAGGAAGAGATTGCCCCTCCTTTTCCAGCAGAGCATCTGGTGGATTCGAACTGTATACCTCTGGGATTGCAGAGCAGCTTCCTGGCACTAGGCCACCAGAGCTCCCCAAGGTTTTTCTTAAGAACTTTGTTAAAGAGTATTACAGTTGGGGGCTCTGGTGGCCTAATGGCAAGAAGCTGCGCTACAATCCCAAAGGCATGCAGTTTGAATACACCAGATGCTCTGCTGGAGAAGGAAGGACAATCTCCTCCTGTGCCATTTGGATCTGATTCGATGGCATACAATAAGTAAAAAAAAAAAAAGGAGTAATACAGTCATGTAATATTTATGACTGAATACAGGCTGAATTCTGTTGTTGGATTTGTTCTGCATGTATCAAAGGACTGGCTTTTAATACAATGACCAGATGTCCTGTTTAGGGTGGGACAGTCCTAGATTTTTACAAGAATCTTAGTTTTTGAACAATTCTATTTTCCACATGTTTCAGGAATTAGAGTGAGGGGACAAAGTACTTTTTTTAAAAAAGTTGTTGCTGTTGTTATGTATTGTTGAGTCAGAATCAACTTATAGCTGACTCTCTGGTGGGTTTTTAAGAGACAGTAAAGTGAATGAGGGAGCTCTGGTGGCCTAATGTCAAGAAGCTGTGCTGTAATCCTGAAGGCCACCACCTGCTCCACAGGAGGATAGGCAATCGCCTCCCTTTCTTTTTTATTCTTTTTCTTTAAATTTTTATTAAATTTTATTAGTTTTAATGAACATTTACAGAGATTCTGGATTTCCATTC